ACCTCTTCCGTGCTTGCTTGCCTGCCATCTGAGCAAGCACTCAGCCTTGGTGCTTCTGGCCCCTTCCTCGACCCATCAAAGTTCTCCTAGAGGAGGAGGGTCTGTGCTACAAAGGATGATTGGGAGGTTGAGAAATGAAGCAAAGGATACTGAAAAGTATTCAGAGGAGCCTAGTAAGAATGAAAGAGAATAGAAAGAGTAAACAGGCTCTTGCTAAATCTCTACTCCCTAGACCCTGTTTAGAACCTAGTGGGGTGGCTCAGGCCATGCGGATGCGGCTTTGGCTTCAAATTCATGAACTTTGGGCAGAACCCTTTGCGCATCTATGAACCTACACAGTATCTTTCTTCCTCTTTCCTTTTTGTCCCTTGTCAACCATGGTAGAGTATTAGTTCCTAGACTGTAACAGGTGGTTGGAAAGTGCTTATTTTGAGAATAGGCATCCGAAAAAAAATGGAGGAAAGCATGTATGCTCATCACCACCCCCATCCTTTGCAAGAGAAGGTTGTCTCCCCCTTCACCGCCTCCTCTCCCGTTCGTTTTCTGTTCCCTCTGCCTCCTCGCATGCTCCGTGCTGCTTGCTAGGAAATCCTCTGCTCCCGGTGTTTGAGGACATCTTAATCAAATAGTCACTTCTCACCACTGATGTGGTGTGCCATCAAGTTGGTTTAGGCTCTTGTTGACCGTGTAGGACAGGGTAGAGCTGCCCCACAGGCTTTCTGAAGTTGGAGCCGTGATGGAAGCAGATCACCAGGCCTTTCCTCCCCTCTAGCAGCTGGGCTGTCAAACGGTCAGCCTCTCATTTGGCCACCATGCCCGCAGGCGGCCTCCTCTTCTCACTGATGCATGTGACTGAGTGTGGACTCTACTGTGAACTCCCAAATGCTGGTTATTGACTGCCAAAACAGTGTTCCATCCTGGGTTGGCTCGGTGCCATTTTTCAGATTCATTGGTCACCAGTCCTTTATGTTAAAAGGGACAGTCTAAGTTGCCTAAAAGTTGAGGACATGACTGGAAACTGTACTAAAGGTTGTCTCTTTAAGGTCCAAAACACCTTGAGCTTTCTCACGTTATAGATAGAGATACTAAGGCTTAAATAGGTTCAGAAACCTGCCTAAGCCACGTGAGTAAATGGAATTCATATCTAGGCCCCAAATGGATCCTTTTAAAGTACAGGCGTGTATTGGATGTCTCCCCCTCATCTTACAAGCCGAGCATCTGCTTTAGGATGGACGTCTCTCGTGAATCAGACTTGCCCTTTCCTGGTCACTTGGCACGCCGCCCACTAGCCCTCGTCCTCACTTTCTGCCTTCAGAGAACTGCAACCAGGTGACCCAGCCAGCCCAGGAACGGCATGGGAAATCCTTTGGGGGACCCGAGGGAACGCTTGAGGGAAATCCTTTCTGCTGAGTGTTACTGTTTGAAATCTAGACCTGTAGAAATAAAAACTCTAAATACTAACTGATCTGAAAATGCAGCCCTCTTGATAAGGCACGTTTTTGAAATGCCTACCATGTCCCATCGCAGCACCTTAATAATTATAGAGTACCTTCCTTGAAGGAGCTCCCAAGTGCTTTGCAAGCATGTTTCTTTGTTAATTATCATGCAGTTTTTCTGCAACAGGAAAGGGTACAGGATAATGTGTCCTATTTAAAATGTGGGGCTGCTGATGTATTGAGCGATTGAGCGAGTCGCCCTCCACTGATGCCCTGGTTAGGCCAGAAGCAGAGTTTGTCCTCAGGTTTGTATGCTGGGACCACTGACCACTGTGTCGGCAAAGGTTGCAGCAAGTGCTGGGTCCAGCTCTTTCCTTACAGTTTGTTTCAGAAACTCCAAGAGATGAAAACACTTACAAATTCAAAAGTCATACGGATATCGAATGGCAGAACCAATACTGCGTGCATACAAATAACAGATAGACAAAGAGATAGAGAGATATAGAGATAGGTGTAAGATAGCCTATAGAGGAAGAGATGGCAACTGTAAATAATCCACTTACAGTCAGATTAGAAAGGTGTGAAAGCCCCTTCATCAATGACTTGGCCTAAAAGGAAAACACATTATTAAAAGGTGAGAGTTTTAGACAGTAAGACTATTTTAACATAGACAAAATTTAAACTTTTTAAACCAAAATACCATATGGAACTTAAGGCACACATCCGACTGAAGGCGACAGGGGGTCATGTTTTAAATGTTCCTTGGCTGACCCCCCAGGGTCTGTATAGACTGCACTGAAAGTATGGTGATGGCACAAACCAGGTGAATCCCAAATGTCTCCACAGCTGATAGAACATTGCAGCTGAAAGTAGCCCACGTGGACGGTCACAGCGCTGGTAGGGAACTCTCATTCCACACATACTTGCCTCTGTAAACGTATGCGCAGCCTGAACTCTGTAGCAAACTGGGAGTATTAGGAATGAGGTTTCCTGAAATGGTTTCATTTTAGTCTAAAAATGAGCATTTTCTCTCTTAACTTCTGATCCAATGGATCCTACTGCCCCATCAGTGAGGATAGAGGGGAAGTAAATTAGAGGAGAGCTGAGAAAAAAGGACACCGGATCAAAATATTTATGAATAACTAAAAGGGGGGAAATTAGAAAGATCAATCAAACTGATTGAGAAATTTGTGGAGTAATTCCTGAATGAACCAATCATTTATTATGATTGTGGGCTTCAAAACATATTCTTTTATGTTTGAAAACATAAAGAATATTTTTCTGGATGAGATACAGATTCATAAAACAGACCAGGACTATCAATCACTTAACATTGAGTCTGAAGCTGGCACACAGTAGTAAGCCCACAATGTATGGCGACTGTTTTCAGTGCTATTATTACCACAATGGGACAAAAAAGAAAACCCAGGCAAGTGTTTTAAATCGAAGTTGACTGGAATGTAAAATATGAATTTCCTACCCTAGTGCAACATTCAGAGTCAGATGTTAAAATATCATCAGGAAAGTTACAGAGGTGGGGGTCTGTAGGTTGGGACAGGCTTTCTTCTTTGAAGTGAGGCCCTCTATCGAGTGATCATTATTGGGGGAGGAGAGCTGGACCAAACTGCAATACCAAAAGAAGTCCTAAAGGAGATATTTAAAATGCCACAGGCCCACTGAGGCATGTCATACATATCACCACTGAATGACTGCCTATTCTTCCTTAGCGTGCTGTTTTTCAAGGTCATAATTTATTGTTTTCAATGAAAGTTCACTTAGCAAATTAGGTCCCATTCAACAATTCCTGTGCAAGTTGTTCAGTGGCACTGATCACTTGGCGTGAACATTCCCTTTATTTCCACCCTGGAGGTTCACTTTCCAGTCATTTAGTTCCCTTACCCTCTTACCCTCTCATCTTTTGGTTGTTGTTGTTTCTGTTGTTAAAAATAGTTGTTGACCTTTTGGTTTCCTATAGATGATTTCTAAAACAAGCTTGGTGCTCAAGGGTTTAGTGACTTATTTTGTAAACCAATGTTAGATACTTCAGAGATGTCCGGAGGGGAGATAGTTTTAGTTCCAAATTTTGAAACTGTCTTTAGTCTCAACTGGTCCAGTAAGTCTGAACTTTTTATGAATTTGAGGTTCTTCTCATGTTCTATTTGGATCCCTCCATTTACAGCCCTTATCAACATTAGGTACTGGTAGTTGAGCACCGTCTAGTAGTTCTGCTCTCAGGGTAAAGGAGGCCATGGTTCATATAGACTAGTGGTTCCCAACCTTCCTAATGCTGCAACCCTTTCTGACAGTTCCCCATGTGGTGGTGACCCCCAACCATAACATTATTTTCATTGCTACTTCAAACTGTCATTTTGCTACTGTTATGAATCGGGCTACCCCTGTGAAAGGGGAGCTTCTTTCTTTTCTGGGTCTTGGTTTTCCTTCTATCTTTTGTCCAGACAAGTAGAGGGGCCAAGTGTGGTAGCACATCACCATTTTAACTCGGCTTTGTTGCCTCATTTGTAAAACAGCAGCCAACAAGTGCCCGGAACCGAGGAGAATAAAGGGTCCTATCAAGGCAAAAGGGCCCTGAGAGCAAAAGAAGGAGGCAGAAAAAATATTATTTTAATTGACTGAGGAGTTCCGGAAGCATATGGAACAATTTAATGGGGTAGGGGAGGCGAGGGAGTGACAAATACCCCTGTGATAAGAATGCCCACACAAATATGTCTACACAGTGGGCACAGTGATTTAGGTAGGGGTCTCTGCCTCCGAGACATGTGGTGATTTGTCAGTGTCCTGCATTGTGTTGGTGCCTGGACCTTTGAGATAATCACATTGTCCATCGCCGATTCAGCCCCTACACCTGAGACTAGGCCAATCTACAGCACAATGCAGCCAATCTGGAATTAGCTGTGAAGCCACATTTTAAGAAGATTTCTGTTCAAAATGGTATAGCTCTTCAGAATGACTTATTCCTGTGTTGGCTATAGGTCCCCGACCTACAATCAGGGCATTTACAGAATACTGAAGTAGGGACTTGAAAGAGCCAAGCTTTATGACCACTGCCCTGAATTTCCAAAGATTCTAGACAGTTCCATCGACCAATGATCTTTCCTCTCTCCGATTTCTTACATTTGCTTGATACTGTGACTCCCATCGCTCTGCCCCGCCCCCCCCCCCCCCCCCCCGCCCCCCCAGGATGCTGCTGAAAGAGATGAGCCCTAAAGCAGCCCTCCCCTTTCTCCACAGAGTGACCTGTGAAGACGGGTAGTAGGGAATGCCCGGGAGCTCTCAAAGAGCCATTTTCTGGCCTGAGAAAATGGAAAACTGTAGACTACTATCCTGGCATCACTTTAAAGCAAGATCTGAACGGGAGAGGCCAGGAAGGATTGGATCTTTCCAATCAAGGATGATCCATTAACCTACCAGATTTCATTTTTATTCTTAATTTTTTGTTTTGTGTTTTTTTTTTTGTCGCTGTTGTCTTGTTTTTTCTGTCTCTCATTCTCCCTCCTCTGCTGTGTCTCGCTCTGTCCTGCTTGCTGTCTCTTCCCACATCAACAGGTGAGAAGCCCCACCAGTGCAGCATCTGCTGGCGCTCGTTCTCCTTAAAGGATTACCTTATCAAGCACATGGTGACGCACACAGGAGTGAGGGCCTACCAGTGCAGTATCTGCAACAAGCGCTTCACCCAGAAGAGCTCCCTCAACGTGCACATGCGTCTCCACCGCGGGGAGAAGTCCTACGAGTGCTACATCTGCAAAAAGAAGTTCTCCCACAAGACGCTCCTGGAGCGGCACGTGGCCCTGCACAGCGCCAGCAACGGAACCCCTCCCGCGGGCACAGCCCCAGGGGCCCGAGCTGGCGCCCCCGGCGTGGCAGCCTGCACGGAGGGGACCACTTACGTCTGCTCCGTGTGCCCCGCCAAGTTCGACCAAATCGAGCAGTTCAACGACCACATGAGGATGCACGTGTCTGATGGATAAGTAGTGTCTTTCTCTCTTTCTTACGAACCAAACGACACAACAAAGAAACACACACACACACCGCAAAGCTATGGCACTAGAATTTAAGAAATGTTTTGGTTTTGTTTAACTTTCTGTTTTTTGTTTTCGTCTCGTTTCATTTTGTATTACATGAAGAACTGTTTTTTGCCTGCTGGTACATTACATTTCCGGAGGCTCGGGTGAACCGTCGTTTTCCCCGTCTCCCGTGGATGGTGGCCTTAAGGCCTGGTAGTGCTTCAAGAGGTCCACTGGTTGGATCTCTAGCTACTGGCCTCTAAATACAACCCTTCTTTACAAAAAAAAAAAAAAAAATCTTAAAAAAAAAATTTTTTTTTTCCACTTGTGAAGAGCACTACAAAAATATATAACAAAATCTAAAAGGCCTACTGTCTTTAAGTACACCGCTTGCAGTGTTTCCGTGGACATTTTTCACAATTCTGGCCACTTGGACTTCACAGTAACCAGTTAAAACTGTGGAATATCCCTTCTGGTTGAAAACCCAGAGGAAAGGCCCTGCTGTTTTCCACCTACCACTTTGTCTGTTTTCATAAAAGGGCTGTGGGCGTGGGCAGGGGGCAGTGGGTGCGGCGGTGGTGTGGGGAAGGCGAGTGGCAGACTTCTCTCCCAGATTCTGCTCCATCCGCACACAAGGACCTGCCTCCTCGGTGCCCCCTTCCGCAGCAGCCCGGACGACTTGGACAAGCAACAAGCAACAGTGGCTGTCGTATTTATTCAGTGTCTTCGCTGAGCCCCAGCCTCAGCACAATCAAGAGGGACTTTCATGAAAGGCAGGAATGCAGATAAAACAAAGATATCAGAGGTTTGCACCTACATTTCTAGGTACAAGAGAAGGATTATTTCCAACAATCTTTGCAAAAAAACAAAACAAAACAAAAAAAAAAGCATCAGGATATATTCTTGTGGAAGAGAAAAAGAAAGAAATGGAGGGTGGGGGGGATTAAAAAAAGTTCTCGAGGCTTTTTTAATTCAAAATTTTATAGAGGGGAAAAAGTGATGTTTACCAGATAGAATGGTGATTTTTTTAATATATTTACAACAGTATTTGTGTAAAAAAAAAACAAAAAAAGTGAGATTGTTAAAAGTAAGGCTTTTTTTTTTGTTGTTTTACTTGTTTGTTTCATTTTGGTTTTGCATACACTGCCACCAATCCCTTCTCTTATCTTTTATTTCACACACAAACCCATATATATATTTTTTGGTAAGTCAAGACTGTTAAGGTTAGCGATCCTGCTTCCAGATAGAGAGAATAAAAGGCAACTAAAGTTATATTTGAAAGAGAGGAAGGATATTTTCTTCATATTTTTTTTAATTTTTCTTAATTGTTATTATTTTAACTATTGCCTGAGTTGATAAGGGCCTCCTGTGGCCCGCCTATCCCTGCTGTAATTTGAACTGCTGCTTTGTATTTTGATATGTAGTTCTTTGACTTTTAGCAAAAGCTTAAGTTGCTCCACTGAATTTTTGTTGTTATTGTTGTTGTTAATTGATCCGTCTAGAATTTCTACTCCTTTTCATTGGAGGCACATTATCTTTCAGAAACCGATTTATTGCTTCTCCAAAAGTTCACTGAGATCTGATGGTTCTAGAATTTCTATGAACATTCTTCTTTTCTTTGATGACACACTAGTAGTCTAGAAGTCCTGGCAAGGGGGTCTTTTCTTCTGTGGTCCGCCAGCAGGGAGCATTCTCAGCGCTCTGCCACCCCCCCTCACCCTTCAGAACTCTGAGAGGGCATCATTGTCCGGAGCCTGGTCCAAACCAAGATGCATCGATGCCAAAATTACTCTCTTCCTTTCAAAGTATCGCCTTTCAGACTGTGCCCTCCAGGAGTGAGAAGGCTAACCAAGACAGTCATTCTATAGATGGTGTCTCAAGCACTGCTTTTGTGGAAACGTAAGAAAATTGGTAAAAATACCCCAGACACCCACATCCACTATCTGAAAGGCCACCACCAACCACTGCATCATCCCCAGTGCCTCCCTCTTCCTAGTTGGGGTTCTCTCCTACCGAGGGCTCGTCAATGAGACGGCTCCGCCAGAGACCCCACCCGGAAGGGATTCCAAATCAAATGTGGGGATTCTTACTCTGAAAATGATTACACTGTTGGGCTTATTTGAGCAAACTTAAAGGGGAAAGTGTATCTTTAAATAGAGAAGAAACACCAAACTATCATTTTTAAAATGAAGAAAAAAAGTTTTAGTTCAAATTACTTTACATTTTAATTTAATTTTCCTGCCAGTGTTCTATTTACAAAAAGCAAACAAACAAACAAGCAAACACTGTGCAGCAAATGAGGAGTAATCTTCCAAGGCAAGCAATTCTACAAAGACTAAATTGGTTTTATTCGTTTATTATAGGCATTGGGTTAACTTGGATCTTTTCAAAATGTTTTCCGTGCTGTATGATCGGGTTAGTGCCACCGGAGGGTATGTGACTTTGATTCAGCCTAGCTGGCTTTAATTCGACAGGTGTTTCCCTGAAAGCTCTCATGTACACTTGGATGACTACTTATCACCAATAGTGATTTCTAAAAGGATCCCCACCAAGGTCCCCATCCTAAATGGACTTGTTTTCAAAGTTGTTGGGAACTAACTTCAGGAATTAGACAAAGCTCAAGCCCATTTTTCTAATGTTGATTTTGTTTTCGAAAATACCCATGCTGTAAACCTATAATGTTTCCACTTATCACCAATAGAGGGCTAGTCAGTTAATTAACCATGTCATGGGATAGTCGGGATATCCTTTTTAAAAACCGATCTATAAAATAGAGCGTCTGAAAGCCACCAATTAAGAACTATGTTTTTTAAAAGGTAGAGGAAACTGACATGAAGTCACGCAGCACATGTCACAAAGGAAAGGAGGCCAGAAGCCACTGTTAACGTTTTTTGGATTTTTTTTTGTTTTTTAATTATTTGACAATGGCCCCTTTAAAATAGTCCCTTTAATCACACCCCAGCAGAATTGGTAGTAATTCCGGAAAAGAAGTGCAATTTCAGGCCACATTTAGCTATCTGCTGCTCAACTCTCAAGAGAGACCCATTTACCTACATGCTGGTTTGCCATCTGAAAGGCTAAGCAAGGGGCATAAAATCCACCTTTTGTTATATTAAAAAACATGTAGGGGGAACGTTCTAATGTAGTTGGAAACTCCCGATGCTCAACCTTTCCTTGCCGAAGAGGCATTTCTCTCTCTCATTCTGATTCTTGGGGGAAGTTGGAACTTAACTGTCCAGCCAGCCTGCCCCTACCCCCAACCCCACCCCCAGCATCTCCCCAACTGACACTGACCGCAGATTGCTCTCGGGAGAGGGTCTGAGAAGGGGGCGCCACCCAGAGGAGCAAGGAAATTGCTGTGGGGCCACAAAGGAGCAGCTATCCAAACTGACCCGGATTTCTCAGAAAGCAAGCTAGCCTGCACCTCCTTTGAAAGAAGAGAGATGCTGTTAGTTTGGCTTACTTACCCTGCAAGTCAAACAACTGCAGACGTTTAGGGAGTAGAGAAGCAAATTTTGCTTTGAGAGCAGAGGTAGGGCATCGATCCTTTCTTTCCATTGGTATCAATTCCACCATTTTCTTACATTTGGAATTTCATGCTAGATAAGTAAGAATGTTTTTTAAAAATCCCTTTAATAATAATAATAAAACTCCCACCATCCAGGGAAAAAAGTAAAGGCTAAATAGGAGGCAAATATTCTAAGACCACTTGGAAAGAATACAGGGAGCAAAGAATTGGTGTGAAAGTAACTTTTTTTTTATACAGCAGTTCTCAAACTAAATTTGTTTAACGAGGAAAAAAGTCAAAAAGAAGACCTGTCTCAGCATAGTTGATGAAAAATTAACTTTTCCAGGACTGAGAGCATTGGTCGCATCTTGGTGTGATGGGCTGTTTTCCTTTCCTGTTAAATATCTATATTTATACTCCCCCAAAGCCCTCAAATAAGTAAACAGTAATTTTTTTTTGTTTTTTTAAAGGAATTTATCACATGATCTGATTCAAATTGTCGATGGGGAAAGATTAAGAAACATGCCAGGCAAACAAATCTGTTGACGTAAAGTCTTTGTATCCGATATTTTTTACTACTGATTTTGAGTTAAATATTTTGTCTCCTTATAATAGTTATGTAGACTTTTCCCTCCCAAACATCCGAACCTGCTAGCAGCAGGCCTTCCACATCCAGCGAGCCAACCTGCTCTTGTTCCGGCTGCCGTCCCTGGCTTCTTCCTAGCCATCTTTCATGTCCTCTTGGCTCCTGATCTCAGAAAAGCCTGGGTTTGCTTTGTTTAAAAATCAGAGAGGTTTTACATTGCGTCATCCAAATACTCCGTAAGGCATAGGAATGCCCTTTCCTAACCCATCAACAGTGGAAATGTGTGTGTTCCAGCAATGGAGAGAGGCTTCCTCCCAGTGCCTAGGTCCTAATGCCTTGACCTACACGCACGTCCAGCTCAGCGGTCTCTACCCAGCCCTTGCCCGAATCAGTGGTTTCCATCAGCCCAGAGGCTGACACTGAGGTGTGCCCTCTACACAAGCTCTCTGACACCTGAGAGGAGCCACGGGCTCCTATTGCTTTCTTAGCGAGGCTCTTCCATGATGTTCCCAACACCTGTTGTCCTCAGGAAAGGCAGGCGATCTGTCCTCAGGTCGATCTGGCAGGCGCTGTTGTTGCAGAAGCTGTGGTTGAACTAGCTGAGGCTGGGGGCAGTGGGATGTGGGAGTCTGCAGGGAAAGTTTCAGCTCATCAAGTCCAGTCTGTCCCTGCTATAGCTGGGCGGCTGCTGCAGCAAAAGGCGGCCCGGTGAAGGTGCAGCATCAGAGTAGACACAACCTAAGAGCCTTTGGGAATTGAGGAAGACAGGAGGACACCCGTTCTGCTGTGTCTCTACTCCTGAAAGAAATCTTTTAAAAGAATCATTTAATTTAGTAGTGAGTTGAGATCCAGGTTAATGGAAGCCCTAGAGAGAACAAAAGGGTTGAGAGATGTATTCAGCACCCAACAATACTAAACCCAAAACATCCAACTGCGAAACTAGGAATTTTGGCAAGGGGAATTCAGCAAAATCTCCGGGCTTCTCCATGGTGAGGGTTGGCAGACTTCCTTTTGAGTGGTTCTGACTCTGAGAAACCTCTTTACTCAGAAGAGAGAAAGAAAGAAAAAACTCAAATGGCCAATTTTGTCCTCCAAAAGCAGGAAATTTTTAAAGGAAAATAGAACACTAATGAGAGAACCACATGACTTGGTGACAAACAA